AAAAAAAAAAAAAAAAAAAAAAAAAAAAAAAACCAACACACTGTTCTCTTCCATTTCCCAAAAAAAAAAACCCATGAATAATTAGCAAAAGATACGTTTGCATAATAGCGTTAAACCATTTGAAACTAGCATGTTAATTATTGAGATTCGACTCTCATGTCGGCTTTTTTGTTCTTTTAATAATGATTTAGGGTTCGTTCGGTTCGCTAATTCGAGTTGAGATGTGATGTTGTGTGAGAACTTTTTACTGTAACAAAAAAGTTAAATGTGACTGTTTATGAGAACTTTTTACTGTAGCAAAACTCGAATTCTAAACTCGAATCAGCAAAAAGAACAGAATCTTAATTAATAGTGTTGTAAATTTAAAAAAATATATTTTTAATTATACTGAAAGAAGAAATAGTTGTTATAAAAAATAACTGAATGTTTAGTAAACTATAATTATAGCAGTTATACTAGTTTTAAAATCAATGTAATAGCATTTGATAAATTATAAAGTTGAATTACTGTGAATAGTTAAAAATTACGACTATATTATATTATACTATAATATAATATAGATAATTACAATATAATATATACTTATTATTATATTTAATATAATACAAAAATTTATTATTATATAATATATTATATAATAATAGAATATAATAATATTATTAAAATAATAACTAAAATAATTAAAAATAACGATTATATTATATTATACTATAATATAATATATATAATTATAATATAATGTATATTTATTATTATATTTAATATAATACAATAAAATTATTATTAAATAACATATTATATAATTAAGTAGTACTAAGAGGATTGACTGCTGTTCGTGACTTTTGGGTTTGATTCCGGGGCAGATGTGAAATGTACTACTTTTTATTATTAGTTTGTTTGAGATGTAACGTCTGGTTTGAATTTTTAATTTCAATTTTATTATCGTTAAGATCTCTCATTAAAAATTATATTTAATTTTTTTTACTATAATTAAAAATTATAATTATGATATCATATTATTAAAATAATTATAATATTATTATAATATCATATTATATGATAAAATGATAATATTAGAGTTATTAATATAATTATAATAGTATTTGTTACAATATTACTATTATATTATATTACAAGTCTGAATTTTATATTGAGAAAATTGTAGATTTTAAATTTTATTAGGGGTATTATGGGTATTTTAAAAGTTTCATTAATTGTACTATGCTGATTACCACACAATCTAAAAGTCAAAGTTGTATTTAGACTGTTTTTTATTTTAGCTGTAGATTCTTAAAAAATTCTTCAAAAAGCACTTTTAAGAGATTTACTAAACACTAAAATCAGCGTCTGCTGCAAACAGAAGCTGATTTTAGGAGGAAAAAGTAATACCAAACTAAGCCAATATCTATCAAGTCAATTAAAATATTGTGACACATCAATTAAAATGTTATACAAATTAAACTATTTTAATGCCCGTGAGTAAAATTTTACTAGTATAAGTCTGTTCAGACAATAAGTAATCTTTGAAACCAGACAGATGCCCACAATAACCAATTCCATCGTGGAATAAGACATTATACTTGATAGAAAATTTGATGCCAACAAACGTCAAACACTTGGTGTTTGGTATGAGAATTTGTATCATGATTCGTGACTCGCTACAATAATTTATCTCACAAAAAACACACGTAAACCGATAATGATTCTGAATAATGATTCTGAATCCATGAACCAAACGTCCACAAATTTAATATTTGATTACTATTAACTAATATGTTAACTTCTTTATTTAATCATTACAATATTACTATTTGAATATTATTTTAGGAAAAATTTCATTTTGATACTCTCTGTTATATCAAAATTTGAATTTAGTATCATCTGTTTTAAAAAATTTCACGCCGGTACCTCAATCTTTAAAAAAATCTTTTTTTGGTACATCATAGCATTTTTTGGGACACGAAATGACAAAATTACTCTTATTGTAAAAATTCATCTATTGACCGGAATTTTAAAGAAAAATAAAAAAGGGTTTTAAAAGTTATTATACCTGTAGAGCATAATCCTTTTTTAAACATTCATCTCTTCCAAATCCGTTTTTAAAATCCTTTTTTCTTCAAAATTCTAGTTAGCAAATGAATTTTTACAATAAAAACAATTTTGACTTTTCATGTCTCAAAAATAACTTCGAGGTACTAAAAAAGTATTTTCTAAAAGATCAAGATATCAACGTGAGGAGATGATCTAGTACATTAGTCGTTGGTCAAAACATATAAAATAACTAAAGATTTCGAATTGCACTCTCCGCTGCTGCTTCACGACAAGTCATAATGCTAATCACGTTGTAATGTTTTGGTTATTAGTTAAAATACAAAATTAAAGAGTTTAATCAAGTAAAATTGAAGCAACTTATGATTTTTTTTTTTGGGGGTACAGAAAAAGTAAAATCACTTAGGCACTTGACGTATGGCATGTAACACGTATAGTTTATCACTCAAGATTATAGCACAGACACGTTCGATTCCATAAAAGACGCGCATGTTCTTTTGTCTAAAAAATTCAAAAAAAGACAACTCGAGTTTCAACTTTATTCAAGTTCATGTTCTTTTAAGTTTCAATTTTATTCAACTTTATTCAAGTTACAACTCTAACTCAAGTTATAACTCAAATTCAACTTAAAAACTACACTCAAGTTACACTCTAAAAGAACAACCCATTAATTTCTCATACCAGTTTGACCAAAAAAAAAAAGAGTATAATGATGAGTTCATAATTTTGACAAAAGAAAGCCACCAATGATGATACACTGAAAAACAAAATAATAATAATAATAATAAATGAAAAAAAGAGACCAAATCTCGTTAAACTTTAGCATTGGGTAACGTCTTTGAATTAAACTTTCAAAAACTACACTTATTAATTTCAACATTTTTTTTTTTTTTTTTTGTGTACGGTGTGAGCCTATATAGCTCTTATTTTACTAACAAGAATGAGACCACCGAATTCGAACTCTGCTAGACACACCCACATACTCACGCAACATTTTATCAAATTTGTAAAGTATAATTAATAAATCGAGTCCCCTCCATTTAAATATTAAAACCATGTCCCATGAAATCTATCTTATCGAGGCTGTTACATTTCTGGATAAGATCTCTTCCCCTTCTTTTGAAGTATGGACTCAACCCCTAAAATAAGCCAGATCACGTGAATCCCACATGGTTATAAGGCCTCTCTAACAGGTACAGAGGCCCTGCTACATAGACAGTAGTTAAAAAAATATAAAGCAGCCCTTCTATGATTCAGCTACATGATAATGATCTTATTATTATCCAAGAATATTGATCAGAACAAATTTCGAAAAAAGCAATTTCAATGCCGTCGAGACGAGAAAAATATAAAAAAATCAGTTACAGCCTGCAAAACTTGATCAAACCTGGGTCAAGGTGGCTTGATTTTAGTCGGTTTGTTTCCAGTCGTTCAGCTCGTGTCAAGTCCTAGGATTCCTACCAAGCATAATTAGTTTGTTATTAGGCTGAAGCTTATTCAAACACCAGATCAAGCAGCTAAGTAGACTAGAATCTGTACTAAATCAAACAGCAACTTCCATTCTACTGGAACTTCTACTAAATCAGACGACCATTTGTGCAACATTACAAATCAGCCACTGTTGTTTATGAGAATTAAGAAGCTATGCAAACAAACTTGTATTAAAGTGTAAATCACTTTGATGAAGTTAAACAACACATCGATGAACTAGAACCAGTATTGAGATCCAAATTGCTCTCTTTAAGCAATAAAGTAGGTGATTAGAGCTCAAATTTTCAACAATTTTAGGCTCATGGTACAATAACCCAACTCTAAGGTCTACTTAGTACAGAATTGCAGGATTGACTTCAAGATTTTAGAGAGATGTAACTGTAGTATTTAAGGAACATACATTGCGCGCCAACTGGTTAGATACTCTGGTCTTGCCATCTATAAGTGCGGATGCCTAGATCCCTCAAACATGAGATAACTAAAAATTGCTTCATCGCTTATAAGCAGGCATCTAAGAACCCAGCTAAATATGTATTGACACCTATAAACAGACGTCTAAGAACCCACCAAAATGTTGAACAGACTCCTCAACCACGGGAACAGACCAAACTTGTTTTAAAAGACATCAATGATGTTGTTAAAATACTCCTCAATTATCTTTCTATAAGATGAACTCCCTGTCGTAGGCAAATGACAAGGCTAATTATTGTTCATACTGTGAAAAACACAATGCTTAGGCATGCAAAGCATAACGTTTGACCATGCTTACACTGCACAAAGCATACTAATCCGGATGGATATTTCGAGTCCTTGACAACCAACAATAAAGGTTTCCCTGAGCGCCAAAAGAGTCATTTTTAGAAAAAGGAATATTTAAAAGAGTTGTTTTTACTATTTTTTTTAATTGAAAGGAATAGTTGATAAATCAAAACCAACACTAATGTACTAAAGAAAAATAAGAACAAAGCAAAATTGATGTAGGACACATCAATTGAAACTTAAAAAGGTCCAAGAATAAAAAACGGAAGGAAATACAAGACAATAGTAAAAAATGGAAGGAAATACAAAGAAAAGATGACAGAACCGGGATGAGTAGAATAAAATCACTGATATGCAAGCCAATTTGATATGCAATGGCGGAATCCTGGAGCCGTTTTCACCGGGGAACTGCAAAGTCTATGGAGGCCATGGAAGAATATATGACAATAATCAGTAGATGAAAAAATTCTACCGAAAATGGGTAAAAAACATGTGGAGTGGGGATTATGTAACATATAGTATAGAGTAGGAGACATAACGCAACAACATTTGATTAATGTGGAAAGTTCAAAGAGGAAAATGAGAATAACTCTGCGTGTTTTTTAGGTCATGAACAAAAGAAAATAACTAACAGAATCAGCAATGCTTCTAGGAATCAAACTCATCTGTAAGCTTCAAGAAATAGATGTATACACTTACAAGATCAGCCTAGGGATATTTCAACGCAATACTGAAATTCTAACCTATGACGCTTCACGACATGCCACATAGAAAGAAACGTTCAAGTCTATAGACCAGGTTATCTGGACATATTCATTTGAAAAACAGCAGATGAATTGGTTATGATTGGGAAAAAAAAAATTCCTAACCCAGTAATTGTGTTCTTCCTCTCTCCAACCCCATATATTGACACGTGTTAAGCTATAATCAGGCTCTTTTTTGCACGATCCTTTGCCAATTTCTATATGTTGTGAAGGCAGTGAGGTGCAATTCAATTCATAAATATCCATGCAAAAAATAACACCACTTCTCAGAAGAAAGACAGCTATATGAGCAAGAAAGCGATTATCATTGAAGAAGTTATTACTCCAACTTCTACCAATTCAACACGAACAAATCAATATTTAAAGAGACAAAAGAAACACAAATATGAAACCCAAAGTTACAAAAATTCGAATTTGGAGGTAACTCATTGATAAGTTCAAATAAGCTTCATGATACAAAGCCCAAAATTTCAGTTATCAAAACATTCTTTTTGCCTTTCACATAGTGACACGGAAGGAAAACCCTATTAACTTATTGTCTCACACAGCCTGCGGGCCTTGTCACAATGGTGATGCAAGTCCTATACGATGATATAGAAAAACAAGTCAGAAACCCACTTAGGAAACTAAATTTAGGCATTGGCACTAAAAATGGCGTGAATTTACTAGCTGATGGAACAATTACATCTGCTATGGTTGATAATTGCTAATATTCTATTGTCCAATAGGATAAAGTCGTGATTGGCCCTAAGAAGCACTAAATAAATTCAGAATTTTCCCAGTAAATACGGCTTATAATTCCATATTCTTAGCTTACCCAACAAAAAATAAAATAAAATAATGTAAGCAAAAGAAATATCAAAAAATTGGACTTCAACTAAAATTGACAACCACATGAACTCTCAAAGACGAAGAATCAAACATATTTATCAAGAACTATCAAGTAAAATGCTCACTAACAATCACTTAAAAAAATTGCATAAATAAATTAATTTTTTATACCTTGACAAAGGTAGCTCCAGCAGGTGGAATCAACGGCGATGTTGGATTTGAGCCGAGCGGAAGCGATCGCGCTGTGAAGCGGCATCAACGACTCGACGCTTCCCAAAGCGGAAATTATCCTTAGATATCACAATTGGCATATTCAGAATATATATATATATATATATATATGTATGTATGTATGTATAAATCTCTCTTTTTCCAATTGAAAATTGATCATGATAAATTTGATCAAAATAGCAAAAGATATGAGAAAGTGACGATTTTGATGAGATGTATATGGTTGTAAAAATGGGGGTTAAAATCATTTGTACCGTGAAGCTCGAGGAATGGATCCGGAGGCCGAGGAAAATGGAGAGGAAATTGGTATGGAATTTAAGGATTTTGGGGAGACGACTTTGGAGCGAGCTGCGATGGAGCGAGAGCCTGCCATTAGAGCTGATCTGCAGAAGGACGCCATTTTTCTGTGTGGAAACTGCAACTTCAAAAGGTGAAAACAGAGACCGAAAACTCGTAAGCAGCCGATATCAGAGTCCTTAAACCCTACCAGGAATTAGAGGTTCCCAGAGTTCATTGGAACGACGACGTTTTAAGAGATTTACAATTTCGCCTTTTTTTTGGCTGTGGTTGTATTTTTGGCAATATGCTAGAACGACTTTCTAACAAAGTGAAATTAGTAAAATGACATTTTTTTATTTTTTATGAAGAAAAATATTTACTTATTTTTTGTAAAATGAGGTCATTTTGCAGATAAAAATTTTTGAGAAGTTATTTTACTAATAAAACTTTTCAAAAGAGTTATTTTTACAAAGGCCTCGTATTTTGTTATTTTTTTGGGAGATTTTCTGATACACTTAGGCACCGTTCACTTCGCTGATTCGAGTTTAGAATTCGAGTTTTTCTACAGTAAAAAGCTCTCACAAACAATCACATCTAACTTTTTTGCTACAGTAAAAAGCTCTCACATAAAATCACATCTCAACTCGAATCAGCGAAGTGAATGAGGCCTTAATGTACTGGTGGGTTATGTTTTTTTAATCGTTAAGTTTGTATATTTTTTTATTTTTATGTGATTTTATGTAAATTTAACAAACAAAAAATCTAACATACTTATATGATGTGTCAAAAAAAGTCTTTTTTTAAAGGTATAAAGCAATATAATTCCTTTAAATTCAACACAATGTTTTCATATTCATTTTTCTTTGGATAGCAGTGTTTTCATTTTCTAGGGAAAAGAAGTGCGTTTATTTTCTTAAAAAATAAATTGGTGCAGTTTCTTTTGTTAACATGAAATCGGATTATAAGAATAAAGGGTTATTGGTTAACCCTTTGGATGGTCCAAAGTCATTTTCTTTTTTTTTTTTGAAATGGATAAATATATTCTGAAATATGAAAAAGGATTAAATACACCAATTTTTACACATAGTTATAAGAAACACGACACAACAAATAACCGGTTTATCAATAAATTTGAATGAAACTCAAAGAAAAACAGCATAAACTAGACTCCACAAACAAAAATCACTCAAAGAGGTACACAAAATTCGAGCACACACATGGCTCTTTGACAGGTCCTCTATAGTCGATAGAAATAATCTGATCAACTGATATCGAGAAGCTCATAACATAAAGACTAGACAAAAACCGCAGAGAAACATATATTGTGGAAGAAAAAAACAGTAACCTAAACAAATCAGGGTCTGTTCATTTCACCGATTCGAGTTTAAAATTCGAGTTTTACTACGGTAAAAAGTTATTTAAAACAATCACATCTAATTTTTTTGCTACAGTAAAAAACTCTCACATAAAGTCACATCTCAACTCAAATTAAAAACTCAAATCAACAAACTAAACGAGTCCTTAATATTATTGAAAAGTGATATTTTTGTATTATTGACCCCCTTAATCATAATTGTCCCTTTATTAAAATTGATTAACTTAAAAAAATTTTAAAAGTCTTCAAAAATAAAAATAAAAATAAAAATAAAAATGAAAATGACGGGGCAATATTGGTTTCACATTAAATTTTAAGGCTCAATTCTAAATTTTTTTATAAAATAATTACTTTGTGATTTTATAATATAAACATTAATTAATTAAAATTCTTATTATGTAATTTTTGTTATTCTTAAAGTATATAAAAAATTTTGTATATTTCAGCTTCCTTCTCCTAAATTTGTTAAAAGAAGAAGAAGAAGAAAAAATTGAAGTAATTACACTGCACGTTAAAATTTCATTATTTGAGTTGAAATTTTAAATTTTTTTAAAATATTATAAATATAATAATAATGATATAATAATTATTATAATAATATTATATTTTATTCTATATAAGGAAATAGTCATTATTTTAATGACACACAAATGATATAAAATTTTACTATTTGTATTATATTTCAAAATTTTGCTAAAGAGAATTCCTCGGAAATAAATGCCGTATTTAGAATTGATTCCGTTTTTATTTTTCACATTTTTTGAGAAAGAAAAATGAAAACATTTTTAAAACGGTATTTGACGCAATAAAAATAAAAAATAATAATAAAAATGATTTTTTAATTTAGTTTAAAATGATAGAGAAATGATTTTATTATTTATTTTTGTTTTTTACTCTTTCGAGCAAAAAAAACATTAATAAATTTTTTATACTAAAAATAATCTCTTAATTAAATTATTAAACGTATTTTTAAAAATAACTTATACATAAAATTAAAAATATTTTTATTTTTATTTTTATTTTCATATAAAAAATTAAATCATTTTAAAATAAATTTTAAATGCGCGAGTCCATTCCTTTTTTTAAATTAGATAACAGTTACGGAGCAGTCCACCGTAGCATTGCATAGAACACAGGGTATCAGAGTGAAGTTAGCCCTTACAGCAAGCTCGAGAGAGAGAAAGACGACGCACTCACGCTCAGAAAGCTTTCTCATCTCTTGCAAGCAGAAATGGCGGAGGAGGCGATTCTCGGCTACTTGGAGACCCACGACCTAATCTCTGACTCTGGTGTCTTCGCCGCTGAGCGCGGAATTGGTCACAACGAGGTCGTCAACATCATCAAGAGTCTCCATGGTTTCCGATACGTCGACGCCCAGGTTTTTCTTCTCCTCTCCCTCCCTCTCTCTCTCTCTCTCTCTCTCTAACATTCGTCATTTCTCTTAATTCACTGTAATCTAGGATATAGTTTGGATTTTCTATTGCGTTTCTTAAGGATTTCTACGCCCAATTTTGGTTGAGAGAATGCGATTTTTGTTCGAGATTTTAGTACCTAATTTACTCGCAAAAGATGCGTTTATGTATCGAGCATTCTGTTTGTGTGAATTTCTCTATAGTTTGTTGCTTGAAACTTTTATTTACAGATTTAGGACTTTGTAACTTCGTAATTTATTCATTTTTTTTTTCTGTTTTTAAAAGCGAAATTAATGGTGAAGATCTTCTCAAGATGTGCTTAAGATTAAGATAATATCCACCATGTTATCACTTTCAGAAATTCCAATCTCATTATGCATGGACAAATCAATTATATGACTGTGATAAGCGTTTAAAAAGAAGCAGAGATATCACATTTATGTGATAGTTTTGTTACCAATTAAGCGCCGTAGTCCTCTACTAATGAGAGCAATACTACATAAAAACAACGCAAGAAAAGCACATATAAGATTGATAGTCGTTGTATCGCAGATTTTTACTAGGACAAATAAGAAGAATACAAGAGATGACAGAGCTCCTGCCTCTCAAACTCTTTGTATTTCGCTTTAACGTAATTCTCAGACTGGCGTTCCTGTAAAAATAAAAGTTATGGCAACTGAAAACCCAATATGCCCTTACTAAAAGTTTGGCCCAGGTGCTAACTCTGCATTAAGAGGACGCCGTGATAAATTAGGCTTGACGCACTCAATGGGTTTTTAGGATGAATTTTTCTTTGCGTTATTTTATTTATGTTCATTTATGGAGATGTTATTTGTAGTCTGTTCTGGATTTACTACCTGCTAGATAAGCCTACTTGGTATTTATGAATGACCAATGAACGAAATGGAGATTAATTCATTTAGCTGGAATTATGCAGGACATTAAGAAGGAGGCATGGGTGCTTACTGATGAGGGAAAAACGTATGCTGCAACGGGATCACCTGAAGTACAACTATTCCTCGCCGTACCACCAGAGGGTATCCCAAAAGAAGAACTACAGGTGATTACTAACTTTTTTTTGTAATCTAAAGTTTCTGTGCTATTGGTTAATCTAACAATTTTGTTGTCATGGTTTTACTTGAATTGTTGAAACTGATGTTTGGATGCAGAACAAGCTTGCGCCATCAGTTTACAAAATAGGTTGTGCCCAGGCCGCAAAGAATAAATGGGTGGAGATGGGAAAATTAATAACCAGAAAGGTAATAGTACTTGTTAACAAAATTATAATTATATTATTCTCCTGTTCAGGACGTTTTTATGTGTTGCATAAGGTTTTGAGTAACCTATGCTCGAGCAGATTCATCTTTCTTCTTTGTTGCTTTCCTTTTGCGACGTGGCGTGTTTGTCGTAGTTAAGGTTTGGATTATTTTCTTTAACGAGAACTTCTTTTCAAATGATTGTTCTTTAGGCCCTGGGGAGGTTGCTTTAAAGGTTCAGCATTTAATTTATGTTGCTAGCTTAACAACTTTGAATTTATAGTTAGAATCAGTACATGCTATGGCAAAAATGCTTATTGATTCTTTCTTTGTGAAGGGTTATAGATTGACAAGTTTGTAAATTTGCTCAATGATTCTTCTTTCGTCAAGAATTATAGATTGACAAGTTTATATTTCCAGTTTAAAATCATGTTCTTGGAATTGGAAGGAGAATTAGAAATGGTGGGTGATGTGGTTCAACTTGTAAACTTAATTGAGAAATAGTGATATTGGTTGTAAGATATTATATCAAATATATTTTTTTTTCAATTATAGCTTTCTTTCTAATGTCTTTCCGTATTCCTTGCCGTAATTTTTCATTTTTTGCTATAGATTTCAAATCTTGGGTGCTTTCTGAGAAACTGCAGTATAAAACTTTCTCATCTTATCCGATATTCTTTTCTGTACTGGTTCATGTGTGTGCGTGCACATGTCTGCATAGTGTTTGTGTGTGTGATTGTGTTCTTTCATAGAGTCCTAGATGTTCTTCAACAATTTGTGGGTGCTTCACATTATCCTGTTTAATTTGATGTGTCTAAATTTATTGCATCTGCTCTTATGTATATTTTTCTATTTTTGCTGTAGGTTGAACATGTGGATGATAAGGTGAAAGATTTACTTCTGCGGATAAATGATGGACAGGTGCGTAAGCTTTTCCTTGACCTCCATGTCATTAATATTGACAACTTGTGTCATGGTGTAAATGTTTGCTTCTTGACGCAAACTAGGGATGGAAAAATTATATGTATATTTTTCATATATTGAATAATTACATGGCTAAGTATTTATAGAGTTTACATAGAGAGAAAATATGAAAGGATATCTACCACAATCCCTGAAAATCAGGAATTGTTAAAACTAATTTTCCTAATTTATTTACAGCCTAAAATACCTCTTGACACCCCCTCTCAAGCTGAGGAGTGAATATCTTCCATTCCCAGCTTGGCTACAATCTCATGAAAATTAGAACAATTTAATCCTTTTGTTAAAACGTCAGCCAGTTGACCTCCCGAAGGAACTTAGGACATACATATGAGTCCTTCCAACTTCTCTTTGATGAAGTGTCTATCAATCTCAATATGTTTTGTCCTATCATGTTGAATAGGATTGTGAGAGATGTTGATTGCTGACTTGTTGTCGCAGTAGAGCTTCATAGGTTCCTCCCACTTGACTCTCAAATCATCTAGAATAATTTTCAGCCAAAGTAGTTCACACATTCCTTGAGCAACAGCCCGAAATTCAGCCTTTGCAGATGATCTAGACACAATACTCTGCTTTTTGCTCCTCCATGTTATCAGATTACCACCAAGAAATGTACAATAGCCAGTTGTTGATCTTCTATCCATTATACAACCTGCATAATCTGCATCTGTATATGCTTCTAACGTCAAAACAGAGTTCCTTTTGACCAAGATCCCTTTTCCGGGACTGCCCTTCAAGTAGTGCAGTATTCTATGTGCAGCTTGAAGGTGAGGCTCCCTCGGATCGTGCATAAATTGGCTGATCACACTCACTGAGTAAGCTATATCAGGCCGAGTGTGTGTGAGATATATGAGTCTCCCAACTAGCCTTTGATACATTCCCTTGTCCACTGGTGGTTCCTCTCTTGCTTCACTTAATTTCTGGTTTGAGTCCATAGGAGTGGTAGCCGGTTTACAATTAGCCTTTCCAGTTTCTATTAAAAGATCAGTCACATACTTCCATTGGGATACAAAGATGTCTTGTCTAGAGTATGCCACCTCAATCCCAAGAAAATACTTCAATCTCCCAAGTTCCTTTATCTCAAATTCCTGAATCAGTCTTCTCTTCAAGTCATCTTTCTCCTTCTCATCATTCCCCGTTACGGTGATATCATCAACATACACAAGCAAGGCAGTCACTCCCCCTGAGGCTGAATGTTTGAAGAACAACATGTGATCACCTTGACTTTGCCTATAACCCGAATCTTTCATTACCTTAGCAAATCTACCAAACCATGCTCTAGAGGTCTGTTTTAGCCCATATAGAGCCTTTTTAAGCTTGCAGACTTTGTCACTGGTTTTATTCCCCTCAAATCCTGGCGGGATGCTCATATATATCTCCTCATCCAAGTCTCCATGGAGGAAGGCATTTTTCACAACATATTGTAGCAATGGCCAGTCAAAATGGGTTGCTAACGACACCAAAATCCTCACGGTATTCATTTTTGCCACCGGAGCGAATGTCTCCTGATAATCCACCCCATAAGTCTGAGTGTACCATTTCGCAACTAACCTTGCTTTATATCTCTCGAGAGATCCATCAGCCTTATACTTTAATGCAAATACCCATTTGCAATCAACTATGTTCTTTCCTTTTGGTCTCTCCACTATCTCCCATGTTTGATTCTTTTCCAGAGCCTCTAATTCCTCTCTCATAGCATTCCTCGACTCCTCCTTCAATAACGCCTCAGAAAGTGTATTTGGTAGGGAGATTGTGTTTAGGCTAGCTATAAACCTCTGGTGGGATGGTGATAGGCGTTTAGGTGAGACATAATGAGAAAGAGGATATAGTGGCCTCTTGGAGCATTCTCGGGATTTTTTCCTGATGGCAATGGGCAAATGAGAGTCATCGGCTGAAGCTTCAACTGTCTCAGTGTCTAGGAGTGAATTTGTACTCACCATGCCTTCATTCTCAGGACTCGGGTTGGTCTCTTGGACTTGTGTCAGGTTTGGGGCTTTTGTCCTTCTTGTATACACCTAAGAAAACCTTGGATGAACATCAGTAACTTGATTGGACGTAGGCTCTTTCGGATTTTCAGAACTGACAGACTCTTGGGGTTGACAAGTAGGATCGGTTTCTGTGTTGGAAGACTCGGGCTCTTGGGTAGGACCTTGTGGGGTGACCGAAGTGATGACTAAAGGAGAATGAGAAGTAGATGGAAGATCAAGTGGTTCAAAAGACTCAAACGACTCAGACCAAGTACCATCTTCAGGATTAGTTGTCTCCCCCTGAAGATGGAACTTAGGGAAATAAGATTTGTTTTCGAAGAAGGTAACATCAGCTCAGATATAGAATTTTCTTGATGGAGGATGATAGCACTTGTATCCCTTTTGTGTGGATGAATAGCCAACAAAAATACATTTGATTGCACGGGGGTCTAACTTCCCTCTGTTTGGACGGTGGACATGTACAAAGGTTGTGCATCCAAATATCCTAGGTATAAGGCCAAATGAGGTTCTAAAGTGAGGGTAGTGGGCATTAAGAATTTTCATAGGACTCTTGTTGTCAAGTACACGTGAGGGTAGTCTATTTATCATGTGTGTGGCTGTTAAGACGGCTTCCCCCCAGTAGGATTTAGGCGTGTTCCCATGAAACAACAAGGCTCTAGTGACATTTAATAGGTGCCCATTTTTCTTCTTAGCTATCCCATTTTGTTGGGGTGTATCCACACAAGAAGAAGTGTGAATAATTCCTTCTTTTTGAAAATAGGGTGATAAAACCTGGTTGAAATAATCCTTAGCATTGTCTGACCTAAAGGTTTTTATTTTTACCCCAAATTAGTTTTGGATCATGGAATGGAAGCTAGGAATAATATTACTGACATCAGATTTTTGTTTAAGTAAAAACAGTCAGGTTACACGCGTGCAATCATCAATTAATGAGACAAACCAACGAGCCCCTGATACATTAGGAATAGTAGATGGACCCCAAATATTACTATGGATCAATTGAAAAGGAAAAACACTTCTCTTATTACTGATAGGGAAAGGAACACGAGTATGTTTTGCTAGTTCACAAACATCGCAATGAAACTCAGAAATATCAAATCCTATGAACAATTGTGGAAACATAATTTGTAGGACTCTAAAGGACGGGTGACCAAGACGATAATGGTGAAGCCAAATGGCATCTTTATTGGAAGAACTGAAAAGAGACACATGCAGGTTACTGGCGGTTTTCTTTGAAATTTCTAGGTGGTAGAGACCATTTCTTTCCTTAGCAAGTCTAATCTTCCTCCCCGAGGCCTGATCCTGAAGAACACAATGAGACAAGAAAAATATTGCACAACACTTAAGATCAGTTGTAAGTTTTTGAATAGAAATAAGATTAGCTGATAACTTCGGCACATGCAAGACATTTTTAAGGACCACGGAGGGATTAATATAAATTTCTCCTAAACCTGCCACTGTAGCTAATTCTCCATTTGCAACAATAATCTTCCTATTACTCGGACAAGGAGTATATGTACGGAAAAAATGTGAGAAATGTGTCATGTGGTCCGTGGCTCTGGAATCTAATATCCAAGAATCATCAAAAAACTTGTCAGAAGCGTGCAATCCATAAGAAATCATTGGTTTACCTGAGGGAACTAAGGAACTAGCTCCGATGGTTTTTCAAGAGAACTCAATAGACTCTGTAATTTTTTAATCTCTTCCCTTTTGAACCCTATCTCATCTCCCTTGAATCCCTTGCTGTCCGGTCCTTCTTTAGCCTTTGATTGCTCCGTGAGATGAGCTTGGGGCCTTTGTTGTCTTCCACGTGTTCCCCACTCACTGTTTGGAGGTTTGCCATTCAACTTCCAACAATTTTCCTTGGTATGCCTCGGCTTCTTGTAGTAGGTGCACCACAAAGTATCTTGATTTTCCCTTCTCTGGTTCTCCCTTCCTGAATTCCTTGGCTGGTCATCCTTATTCTTCTCCTGATGTTCCAATTTAGTCACCAGAGCAGACCCTTCCATACCACTCGGTTTTTCTAGCATCACATTCCTTCGGCTCTCCTCTCCACGAATAATTGAGATGGTCTCTTCCAGTGAAGGAACCTCCTCCTTACTGAGTATTTGTAACCGAACTTGATCAAATTCGGAATTCAAACCAGCCAAGAAGTCATACACTCTGTCACCGTCAATATATTTCTTGAGAATTGCTGCATCCTTCGGGCATTTCATCTCGAACACTCGATAGGGATCCAATTCCTGCCACATGATCTGCAGAAAATTGGCATACTCTGTGACAGTCATGTCTCCTTGCTTCATTCCATTTGTCTTAATCTTTATCTCATACACCTGGGCTGCATCACGTGCCTTTGAATAGGTACGTTGAATGTAATCCCATATCCCCTTCGCACTAGTCAGAAACATACAAGTATCACTAATGGCTGGTTCCATTGAATCCCACAGCTATGACATAATCATTGAATCCTCCTCATCCCATGCCACAAATCAGGGGTCTGTTTTTGCTGGTCCAGTCCCAAGCAGGTGGCTGATTTTTCCCTTTCCTTTGAGGTACGTGCGAACGACTTGTGACCACTTGAGATAGTTTTTCCCATCGAGTCGATAAGAGGCTCTAATATTCTGCAAGTCTCCGGATTTCTGGGCAGGAGAAACATCCTCAGTAGTCAAGGAAGTGCTGGTGCCCTTGGGTTCAGAATCGGACATGATTGAATGAAGGGGAAGAAAAGCAGCAATGAAGGTTGCTCAAGCAGATTTCAAAGAGAAAAAAAAAATAGAATGATGCTGTGATGACCGGTAGCAATGAAGGCTGCTTGGCGGCGTGGATGAACGGCAGCCATAAAGGCTGCTTGGCAGCGTGAAATCCCAGAGAGTCGCCCTAGGGCTCTGATACCATGACGCAAACTAGGGATGGAAAAATTATCTGTATATTTTTCATATATTGAATAATTACATGGCTAAGTATTTATAGAGTTTACATAGAGAGAAAATAGGAAAGGATATCTACCACAATCCCTGAAAATCAGGAATTGTTAAAACTAATTTTCCTAATTTATTTACAGCCTAAAATACCTCTCGACACTTCTTAATAATTCTTATGTTGGCATTGAGTGGTTTTCGTATTATATGTTGCGTAGGTAGCACCAGCGGAACAAGTTCTAAGTTATAATGTGTGAGATATTTTTATTCAATATTTGAATGTACCATCAAGATGTAAGATTGATTAAATTTGCCTATAACATGGTGTAAATCGTTGGTTATTCCTTTGCTTTTGTTTTCTGGGAAGTATTTTTCTAATTTAGAAAAAGGAAGAAGCTAACCTCATTTTTTTTCTCCTTATTGTGATTACAGGCTGTTGACCAAGATGGCATTAAGGCTCTCAAAGCAAGAAAGCTTATTGCTCCACAGTAATTTTCTCGTTTTGTCTTTTGTCATTAGCGTAATTCAGTTTCCTTCTAGATGTTTTCAGTATAATATTTCTTTGCCTTAGTTAGACTATGATGCACAAACAAATGGATTCATCATGTATTTTATGCGTGTATTCATGCACGTGTGCATGTGTGTGTTTATATATTGGGTGCTTGTGGTGAAGATTTTTAACTCTAAACTCTGTATGTGCATGCATCATATATGGTAACCAAGTGAATCTTTTTCCTGAATGTCAAGCTAGAGAAGTGTGGACATGCTGATAGTATGTATCCTTGTACTTACGTTACAGGACATGGAAGGGCTACTCAGTGAAAAAGGGTCCCAATTATGCTCCAAAAAGAAAGAAAGTTGCTACAGATCTGACTCGGGAGAATTTGCAGGGGTATTAATGTTTTTCTTTTTTGCTTTGAAAATGACCATGTCCATTCTTTGCAGCCTATTTGCAGTATTTGAACATCCAACGGTTATTCCTGGATGCTTACTGCTTGTTTGTGTCCCAATACGACGGGTTACTAGCTTTGCTGGTATACGTGTTTATCTTGCTGACAGAACTTAATGATATGTTTGACTTAGGGGGGACTGGAAGGAATTGGAGTTCAAAGAATATAACTTCACCGCTAAAGGTCTTCCCATTGAAGGCGGTCATCTTCATCCACTCCTCAAGGCAAGGATATAGCTTGATCTATCTTTTCCTCCCTTATTCTTAGAACGTTGTGAGAGGTGATATTGCCAATGTGATGAACAACTGGATTAGAGACACAATTAAACAAGAAATATCATCTTTGTAGTACACGTTTAAGCCGCAAACTGTCCATATATTGTTGAAATAATGATTCTTTTCGACGTTATCTGAATTTCAGGTAAGACATCAACTGAAGGACATCTTTCGACAAATGGGGTAAGACCCCCCTCTTTTTATTTTATTTTATTTTTTTTTAAGTTGATAGCTGTTGATGTCTAGGGGCACACTGTATATTTTTCCAAGTTTGACCCATTTTCTTTGGCGGTTTTCTACTCTCTACAGGTTTGAGGAAATGCCGACAAACAATTTTGTTGAGAGCAGGTGATCTTGCCTTTCATTTGGAGAAACTTATTTATTTAGTCATTTATTTTTCAAAAAGAAAAACTTGTTTTTATGTCTGAATAGAATATCTACGTTTTGGAGATCTTCTAGGAAACTTTTTTTTTAAAATTTTTTTTTATAGTGCTATTGCTATTAGTTTTTGAAAGGAAAAAAAAATGAACTTATCTATGTCCTTCATAAGTTCAATCTGTTCCATTTTTCCTACTCGATTTCCTTCCTTTACCTTGGTAGAAATATCCATGAGACCATGACCCGAGAATGTGCATATAATCGGTTTTTTTATAGTTAAAATCTTCTAAGATCAATTCAAAGGAAAATACTTTTTTAGTGAATCTACGTTAGTAGTTCATACCATAGGTTGCATTAAGAATCCTGTAATGAATTGAATGTGATAAGCTCGTAAAGAAAATGAAGAACATTTTAGAGTAAGACAACGCGAGATTTTTGCACAAGCAAACCAAATCACAAGCCTGATCACTGTTATTAATGGTGGAAATTACAGAATCACAGGTTTGGATATGGGGGTGTTCGAGTGACCCCTTGCACTCCCTAACCAAACTTGTCTAAGAAGTTCTGAGAATGATTGAATGAATCCTTCTCATGCCTTTTCTAGACTATTTATACTATTCCTCTTCCTACTAACTAACTCCCCCTTAACAACCACAGCCTAACCGACTAACTACTAGCTATTTGCATCACAACCTCCCCCTTGACTTGCCAGCTCATCACTCTTCTAAGAATTACCTCCTTGATTTGCATCTCCACTGCCTTCCCCTGCTCCTGCCACATTCCTCTCACGAACTCTCCTCCGCACATAGGTAAAACGCAAAGGAGGCTTATCATTACCCCCGCCCCAAAGACGCACCTTGTCCTCAAGGTGGAAATGAGGAAACTGGCGATCGATGGCCTCATAGGACTCCCAAGTCGCATCATGCGCCGAAAGATGCTGCCAACGGATTAAAACCTCAGACTCAGAATGTCCCCCTGCCACACGTTGGCGCACGCCCAGTAAAGCCTCTGGTGTGACGCGCAATTCCAAATCACCTGTCAACTGGGGTGGGATCGTAGACACAGCCTGGCTATGGCCAACAGCGTGGCGCAGCTGGGAAACGTGAAATACCGGGTGAATGGCGGCCTCTTCCAGCAGGCAAAGATGGTACGCCACAGGACCAACTCGGGCAGTGATAGCAAAGGGACCATAGAAACGTGGACTTAACTTCTCATTGCAGCGTCGGGCCAAGGACACCTGATGGTAGGGACGCAACTTAAGGTACACTAAGTCACCAACCTCAAACAGCACATCTCGGCGTCTACCATCAGCCACCAATTTCATTCGCTGCTGAGCACGAAACAAGTGAGACTTAAGTTAGTCCAACATGGCATCTTGGTCCTGCAATTGCTGATCCACCGAATCCACCACGGATGTTCCGAGGCCATAGTGCAACAACGGAGGTGGAGCACGGCCGTAGACCACCTGAAAAGGAGTAGTGCGTGCTGCGGTATGAAAGGAGGTATTATACTAATATTCAGACCAAGCTAACCACTTGTGCCATTTTCCCGGTTTATCTGATGTAAAACAACGCAAATAGGTGATAAGCCCAATAAGCCTTTGCTTAAGCAGGTGTATGTTCGGAAAGGCAAGAGGGAGTAATTGGTGACTAGGCTGGGTTAGTGGTTAGTAGTGGGAATGCTGAGAGTTGTATAAGGTAGTGTGTATAAATAGGGAATAAGGGGGACAATCAGAGAGGCAGGACGTTACTGGAGTCTTGCTGAGGAAGTCTTGGCTAATGCTGAGCAGGGGAGATTGCGCAGTATCTCGAAGAACTGTTCTTGTATTACATTTCTGTTAGTCAATAAAGATCATATTCGTTCTTTCAATTCTTTCTAGTTGAATTCTATATTCTGTTATTATCATTTTGGTATCAGAGCAACAATTCTGGGCAGTAATGGCTAGTAGGAAAACTGATGAAAGATTCGAATTGGTGGAGGAGATTAAGGAAGTTAGGTCTTCAGTGGAAAAGGGAATTGGTGAGATGGAGAAAGGGATCGGGGAGGTTAGGGTGGAAATATCCCAAAATAGGGCAGAATTTACCCAGAATCTCATTGAGAGAAGAACAGATGAAATTATTCAAGGCTTCATCGTCGGCGTTGGAGAAGATAGTTGCTCCGACGACTGCGATCGTGGAGGAACGCGAGATGAATCACGCCGGAGAAGTTTGCGAGGCGAATCGCACCGGAGATCGTGAGACGAATCGCGCTGGAGGCGCGGATTCACACCGGGCGGGAACCTCTGGGTGTTGCGCGAGACAGGACGAGTTGTCGGCGGATCCTAGGGTTTCGTAGAACGAGATTTTTCCGGCGAGAGACATTGGGTTACGCAAGAAGGGCGAAGATCGTACGGCGGATTTAGTGATTCCGCGGAATTTGGGTCGCGAAGAGAGAGAGAGGGGGCGCGGGTTGGCTTGGGAGTTTCCGATGGGTACCCATGGGAAAAACGGGTACGGCAGCGTGGTGAAGGGTGTGGTGCTTCTAGGGAAGGGGAGGCTCCGGAGTTCAACGAACGGTGGAAGGGATTTGGCGGCTCTGTTCACCGTGGAGTGGAAAGAGGAAGAAACACTAATGTGGGTGTACGGTTTAGGGATGGTTGGGAGGGCAGAGGTGTTTTGGAGGAATTACCGGTTAATATGGAATGGGTGACTTCTCGAAGGCGGCAAGTGGAGTGCCCAATCTTTAGCGGGGATGATCCCGACGGTTGGGTGTTCCGTATGGAACAGTTTTTCTCCATCAATCGCTGTTCGGAAAGGGAAAAAATTGATCACCTCTGGAATAGCCTTGGAGGGTGATGCTTTGTCTTGGTTCCAATGGCAGAATGGCCGCAGACCCTTACATAGTTGGGCAGAATTTAAGGTGTCGTTGCTGTAGCGTTTTCATTCTTCACAGGAGGGGAATCTTTGTGAGAGGTTTTTAGCGATTCGACAAGTAGGTACGGTGGCCGAATATCGCGCAAGAAATTTGAAGTTTCGGCAGCCCCACTTCGGGATGTGCCGGAAGAGGTTTTGGAAGGGATTTTTGTTAATGGGTTAAAGGCACATGTTCGGGCTGAATTGCGGCTCTTGAAACTGGAGGGGTTAGGAGAAATTATGGAGATTGCTCAAAGGATCGAAGAAAAAAATGAGTTGCTTCGTCGGGAGGAGTCGGAAACAAGGTTTTCGAGAACACAACCACATAGTGTCTCGAGAGCTGAATTTTCACCAATTCCGGTTCGATCGATGCCGGTAGTAGAGCGACCACCGCGAGCTCTTGTTTCTTTAGAGCAAACGACAACTCAAAAGCGAGATTTTCCATTTCATAAGTTGTCGGATTCCAAGTTACAGGAAAAGAGGGATAAGGGGTTGTGTTTTAGGTGCGACGAGAAGTTTACCTTTGGTCATCGATGTAAGAAGAAGGAGCTGCGGATAATGCTTGTGAGTGATGAGGATGCAGATGACTGTGAAGAGGAAGTCTTGGTTCTGTTGAGTCCTGATTGGGAGGAGGGGCAACCTGAACTCATTGAGTTATCCTTGAACTCGGTGGTGGGACTTTCAACACCTAAAACTATGAAGCTTCGCGGCTTGATTGCTCGGCAAGAGGTAATTGTTTTAATTGATTCTGGTGCGACTCACAATTTTATTTCTTTGAGTCTTGTGAAGAGATTGTCGATTCCTATTGCTCCCATTGCGGGTTTTGGAGTCCAAGTGGGAATGGGAGAATCGGTTAGGGGAAAAGGAATTTGTAGGGAGGTAGCATTGAGTTTATCACACTTGACTATTGTGGAAAACTTTTTACCTCTGGAATTGGGGGGAGTGGATGTTATTTTAGGCATGCAATGGTTGGAAACGTTGGGAGGAATGTATGTTAATTGGAAGTCCTAAGTAATGAAATTCAAGGTGAGGGGAGAAGCAGTTATTTTGAGGGGCGACATGAGCCTTTCCACCACTATGGTCTCTCTTAAGGCCATGGTTAGGACTATAAAGCATGAGGGCCATGGCATTTATTTAGAATTGTGTGCCTTGGATGCATACAAGGTACCAGATTTGGATGCAAACAGGGAACCCAACCAGCAACTGCAAGAGCAGATTCGTGGAGTCTTGCAGCGGCATTCGGAGGTCTTACATATGCCGGACGAACTTCCCCCCCAACGAATGCATGATCATCGTATTATTCTTCAGGAGGGTACCGCTCCTATTAGCGTCAGGCCCTACAAATATCCTCATTTCCAAAAGAATGAGATTGAAAAGTTGGTTCGAGAGATGCTAGCGGCTGGGGTCATTAAACCGAGTAGCAGCCCATTTTCTAGTCCCGTTCTCTTAGTAAAAAAAAAAGATGGCAGTTGGCGTTTCTGTGTTGATTATCGAGCACTTAACAAAGCTACAGTTCCAGACAAGTTTCCCATTCCAGTAATAGAGGAGCTTTTGGACGAATTGTGTGGTGCCACCATTTTTACTAAATTGGATTTAAAATCCGGTTACCACCAAATTCGGATGTGCAAGGAGGATATACCGAAAACTGTTTTTCGGACCCATGAGGGTCACTACGAATTTTTGGTGATGCCCTTTGGTTTGATCAATGCCCCGGCCACCTTCCAATCTTTGATGAATGAGGCATTGAAGCCTTTTTTGAGGAAATTTATGTTAGTATTTTTTGATGACATTTTGATTTACAGTAAGTCCTATGAGGAACATGTCAACCATATAGATAAGGTTTTGACTGTCTTAGAGAACAACCATTTATGTCAATAAAAAAAATGCACTTTCGCTAGTAGTCAGTTGGAATATTTGGGCCACATTGTGTCGGAAAAAGGAGTTTCTGCGGATGCTAGTAAGATTCAAGTGATATTGGATTGGCCGACTCCTCATTCTCTCAAGGAGTTGCGTGGTTTTCTTGGTTTGACCGGTTATTACCGGTGCTTTGTGGCTGGATATGGACATCTTGCTTGGCCG